GTCGAGAAATACATGAGCTTGTGAGTTAATAATAATGAGAATAACAATAATAATAAAGTCTTTTTACTTGCTTTTTTATTTATTGAATATACAAATGTACAGTCAACATTCAGGATAGCGGGGTGTGTGGTGTGCCGCGGCCATACAAAGGCTGCCTGGGAAGACGGGCAGCGGGGGGAAGGGTTCGAACCCGGGACTCCCAGGTCCCAAGCTGGTGACTTGGTCACCACCGCCCCAATAATAAATTTTTGATCTTTGATCTTTGGATTATTTTACCATGGCAATTGAATTTATCAATTATGCACAATCACCCATCCTCGATAAGTTCGCATCCGATCAGGCACATCAAATTGCTTGTTTTCAGGTGTAACACCTGGCCTCACCTACTCCGGTAGCTGGTGTCAGTCTGGCCATGTTGTGCGAAAATTTCATTGATTTGCTCACTATTGCCCAGAAAAATATTTGGTGTCTCGTGCTGTGGGCAACAAAAAAGAAATAAAAATACAATTTTATTAAATTTTTGATAAAATTTAACCAAAATTAGTGATGTTAGTGACTTCAAATGTAATGTAAATGTGACAGGTGAACGATTAAATTGGAAATCCCAAATTCAATGCATAATGAGTAATCTTGTAATCTATTCATTATAATCAATCAAAACTTCCACATAATGTATATGCAGAGCGAGAAACCGTGTGATCAGCTACTCGGTGGTTGAGTAGGTAGTATAGTTGTGTTCCGCAATCGGGTCGATGGATCCGTGCACTGCACGGATGGAGCCTAAACCAGGTCGAAACAACTGTCCAGTACGTCCCACGCTCACACCTCGTTCACATTGTGAATTTATTACATTTAATCAAATCAAATACTCCATTACCCCCGTGCACGAACTATTTTCGTTTTTTCATCAGGCAGCACTGTATCGTCAATTAAATCCTCCAGCCGATGCTGTTGCTATCGTCGTTGTTGTTGTTTTTGTTGCTGCTGATGTTTTTGCCAGCATGACTCTTAATCAAATTAAGCTCAAACCCATTCGCTTCTAATCACTTTATTTTCTCATCAGCTATAAAGATTATACAGAATATCACCCCGGGAAAGAAGATCAAATCGTACATTTGATGTTTTCAGTCGGTAACCCCAGTTACAAAGCACTCGTTGTTGACTACATAGTGAACTTTTTGGTGTGACTATTTTTAATCTAACCTCCAATAGTTTTTCTCATTAATTATGTTAATCCGATCGGAAAACATTGCTACTTTTCCATTCACAGCGGTGATGTGTTCGGTGTTTGTCACAGACATGTCCCGCGCGCGACACACAGTCTGACGACTGGGGCGAAACAACTGGGGCTTGGTCAATGACACGAAACCGCATGAAACCGTGAGAACAAACGAAGTGATAAATCCACGATTTATACCCATTCGTGTATGAGACATCAGTTCCACCATCTCACGGAAGTCACCAATTCCGTTCAAAATTGTTCGTAACCGAGGCTCGCAATTCATGTGCACAAATGGCTGGGGCATACTGAAACTGATCGGAGTTTCCATTGTCCGAAAACAAATCATTGAACGCATTGTTGGTTTTCTGTCTAGATTTATCGTTATCTGACCAGATTAGAAACTGATCACCGTGCTTTGGAGAATGCATGCTTCATTTCTGTTGAACATTGAATGCGTAAATCTCCCGGCATTCGATCCGTTCGATGTCAATTAAGTGCACCGTTCCATTTTGCCTCTTCTCCGAGCTTGGTAATTTGTTTGCAAACATGTTTTATTTTAGGATTTGATCCGTATACGTTGCTTTGCGGTAGATCGTTAGGCCCAGATTTCCTGATAGCTTTCTGATGATCAGATGTCCGAAAATGTCGGTTGGTTATCCTTATCTGTCTCCA